TTTTAAGTTAAAGTGTTTCTCGTATATTTGAGTAGAATATTTATATAATTTGGTACTCCCGTAGTGTGTTTACCAGAGGTTAGGGATAGGTCAAATTTTATTCCGATTTTCCTATTTTAGTTTATCACGAATTCGGGGACTGTCAGTGTTAGCAAAGTGAATATACTCCTACCCATAGGTTTCAGTTCCTTTACCTAACGTGATGTAGCGTCGCATTTGTCTAGTGCAAGTATCACCAGCCTTTTCGAAGCCGAGGGCTACTTTCTGGTTACAGATTGAGCCGCGGGCTACCAATTCAATGTACACTTCTAAAAAATCGCGGCTGTGTGGCCATCGTTAGTGTGCTAAGCGTTAGGTTCACAGGTTAGAATTCTATGTGAGGATAGTTATGTGCGAGAGGATTGCTGGACCCCTTACCGCAGTTGGGATGGCTTCCTTCGCCATTAAGTTCATGCTTACGAAAACAAATACTTAGCTAATCCCATACCCGACATGAAATGGTAACCGGACGAGAGGCCCTGGTTCGCTATATGATTAAGCCGTCTTATGGGCTATCTTCTCCCCCGGGATAAATATGTAAATCCCATCCTATTCTGAGTTTATGTCAAAAATGTTGATTCACAAAGATAGGTTGAACGAAACAATGGTCTCGTAAAATAGTATTGCTGTATGATTTGAATCGCGAGCTGTTCTGCCCGTACTGCGCTGACCAGTGGATAGTGAGTGGGTAGATTTCGTGACAAGACGTGAAATACATTTTCGCTTTGCCGTCGCTACAATCGCCCCAAAAATGAGACACGTGCAGGCAGTTATCATGGTGGTAAAAATATATCCACCCCCATTCATTATGAAAATGGTGGGTTTTTCATCGTTTTTCTGCCATTTTTCTTTGGAATCAATAATTATATTATTGCTGCTCCACAAAACAACGGACAAGAAAAAGCGCGGGTTCGTGGTAAGTTATATCAGTGTGATGTCATAATTGGAAGAGTGATAATTGACCCGTCACATTACTGAAGTCAAATAAAAATCAGGTTGATGGCTACAATATTTAATATAGTGCCATACAAGAATAACAGGACAATATTTAACTGATGTAGCTTACTCATAAGCCCCGTTATTAAGCTTAGTTTGGAACAGACCTCCGGGAGACTCATATGGTCTTTAAGGGCGACTTGGTGCCCGCGGGCTACGCGTTGGTGACCCCTGGTCTAGTGAGTAGCCTAATTCAGTCATAAAAAATGTGTAAAAATGTATCACCCATACCCGGCAAACTATCCCAGTCCACACGTGAAAAATAAACGTAGTTTTGGTTTGCAGGTAATCTTTAATCTTTTTATAGTGGGTGACCACCAATGTTGTCACAAAGAGGGTATAAAAATAAAGCATTTTGATCTGCACATGACGTTGCGGTTTTTAATAAAAAAATGTTAGAAATTAACAAATTGAAGTGAGTGATTGTTTAAATGTGTAATTTGGCGTAAACGTAGAAAGTACTATGACCTATAAAATGAGTGTGAAGCTAGTTTAGCAACCACGAATTTCTGAGATCAATCAAGCCCTTTGCAACGATAAAATAAAACGGCATTCGCACGTGAAACTGCCGACATCTCTCAAGCCTCTTGAATTCTTCTAGTTCCTTCATTCATTTTGGTTTCTTCTAGCTTTGCTCAAATTTCATCCACGACACCTGAAATAAAAATGAAGACATATTATTCATGATTTGAAGTCTCAGAATATTTTAAATGGAGATGATATGCATATTTTTATAAGTTTCTAAAAGAAGATTCTATAATTACAACATTATAATCAAGACAATATTAACAGTCGTTTCATTGTATACCGGTACCGTCCGCAGCTGACCATCAGATATCAACTTACGCGAAAAAGAACCCCAACAAGGAAAGCTATTTTTTAATTTTGATAACGAAATGGCACACAAATAAGTGAATCCCATGGAAGTCACAAAAACTATTGAAATAAATAAAAACAATAGCCTTCTAACGAAAAATTTAATCTTTAAACACTGTAAATTGCAAATAGTCAAGTACTTAAAGTAGAAAATATTTATTTCGAGTCGACCGTACTCTCCCTCAATTGGAACTGTATGTAGACATTTATCATAAACAGTGTTGGTATGCCTGTAAAATATTGAAAATGAATAAATAATTCCAGTAGCAAAGTAGGCCTACGTACGGCTATAGCATGGTCCAATACATTCGATAGCACTGCGGACTTAAATTGCTGGGTTTGCTTACAGTCTTACATAGTATCGCCCTGAATTTTATTTTACTATTTGTAATAATTTCCAACATGACTCCTGCAATGAGGTTACTCCCTATTGCGATGAAGCGTCACTTATTTTGTTTATGTTCTTTATCGTTATTTCAAAATTTAGAGCATTACGGTTTGGCCCGTTCAGCGAAAATTGAGCAGATAAGACAACACTTTTTTAATTGGATGAAATACATAATTCTGTGGCTACGATTCTTTGACATAAACGTGGGTCTGGCTCTAACATATTTTGCCATATAAAATTATGAGCGCGATTTGGTGCTTAAAATGACGAAAGTTGGAACGAAGCAATACAGTTTTTTCCCCAATATTGGGCGGTAAAATAAAAATAAAAACACTTTTTATTGCTAATAATTGATCAGGTCTTATTTGCCGGAAAAATACGAATCGTGTCTATATAAAATTTTAAGGGTATAATTCATAGAAAATTCCATTTGACATGGTCACGACAAAGCTGAGCTTATACTCAATATAAATAAAATATAAACTTGTCGCAGATTTACCGGAAAAATAATAAATGTTATTTATTAAAGAAATGCAATTAGAAAAGACAAATCAACTTTAAATTGCATTCAACAAAATAAATAACATTGATTTCCTTGGTCTATAGTTGCAATATATTGTACCTCATTATGTGAATGTAAATTAAAATTTCAACAGATTTTGACTACATACTTATGGGTTAGACTTGCTATACTTTCATCTGGTTCAGTGATGCATAACCGTATAATTGACAATGTCGCATTTCTTTTGATTAAATAATGGACTACCAGTGTTTTAGAAAGCTGAAAATAAATTTATATGAGATGATGAAACGTAGGTAAATTTTATCTTATTTTGATTAGAATGATATATCCTTGTGCGAAATATGTCATTATCAGTGGAACGGTGATGCTATGCTCAATATACAATGTTAGTTCATTTTCAAAGGTTCCATAAAATTACAAATATTTTTTATTTAAAACGATGTGTTAGTGTATTATATTTCTCTCATTTTGTAATCTTCAAGTCTCTCTTCTCTTCTCGTTTATTTTCTCTAAAAATATAACTCAATTTTCAAATTTAAAAAAATACTTTACGAGCAAATTTCGTCATATAATTTAATAAAATCCAAATTCTATTTTTGTGAAAGTTTTCCCAAATACACAAAACTTCAGAGAAATTAGACAAGTAAAATTTATTCGCCAAGATTCAAATATCAGAGATTACCAGAAATTGCTTCTCAGATTTTTTTTTCTAAAATATTTAATAAAACTCTACAGTTACAGGTATGTGTAGTAATTCAATTTCATAAATTCCAAATATTACTTTATAAAATATCATACGTAGTTCTCAAATTGCAAACTGCGTGTGGAAAGACATTAATAAACAATAAATAGGCAGTTGCATACCTCTAGCATTTCGAAATAGGAAATTCATACTTTCAAATCCTTCCTATAACCCTGACCCCGAATAGAGAAATACTAATTTAAACACTGGCGGTTGTTTTTACTCAAATCTTGCATTTTTGCATTCGTGGCAGGGGCTTTGTAAATAAGATACGGTAATTCCATTATACTCGTCTGTTTCTGTCGAGGGAACGCGCAAGTGGGTGTCATCGGATATGTTGCCTTCCAACGAACTAATGAAAGAAAAACGTTACATACTAGTCTGGCGTTCTATCAATGCAATCTATGCGTGGAACAATTCATAGCTCATTGACTTACGCAGCCAAGAAAAATAATGTGACGTTGGTAATTTTTGCCTTGTTTACAATAACTTCTCCGTCCAAACCAGACGCGCACAGACATAACATCGGCTTAATCACGGTTCTATGTGAAGTATATAATTGACCTTTCTTCATCTTATTCGGTATCTTCCTATGATCCGAACCTAAGCTAAGAAGGCTACAAGGAAACTAAAGAAGGAAACGTTATGCCGAACTAACCCAAGCTAAGTTCGTAAAGGAGGCTTGATTGTGCTCGTACGGCCTTAGCATAGGTAAGATCTTTATGTGGACGCGACTGAGATGTGCTTCAGTTGGAGACTGCATATTTAATGCACTGACTTGTAACTTATATGCACCATGGTTGAAGATTGCCTTTATCGTTAGAAAGTTATTACTTTTTATTTATTTCAAAAATGTCTGTGGTC